GTGAGCAGACTCAGCAGAGCCAATATAGGAATTAAAGTTGTAGCAGAAATCCTGAAACTTGATTAAAAAGAAAGTTGTGTTGATCGCAGCTGATCATATCTGCCTAATTAGCCTCATATTTGCCTCATGCAGCCTCATATGCTCTTCCAGCATGTCAGGTGGGCCCCACGCCAAAATGATCTATGTGAGGCATTATCTAAATTAACTTTCATTTCAGTGGCAGGGGTTTTCCACCTGGGAGTTGTTCTTCCATCCCATCTTTGCAGCTGGAGACTTGCTTTCAGCTCAGGATTCGTTGAATGTTCGATGTCTCTTATACTGTCAACAAACCCCCAAGTTAAGAAAAAAATCTGCAGTTCCTCTAATGTCCACTTGAGGCTCCCTCTAAAAGTTAAGGTTGAATTTTGCAGCAGCATAGTGTTCTTCTTATTGCTCACCTGTTTATTTTTTTTCCCTATAGACAGCTGATAGCTAGCTGTCTTTTAGCCTTTTGAGTTTTCATGGCCTCATCCTTTCTAATTATTAGGGTTGGGCGATTGGACGAATATAACAACTACTTTCTACAAGGGGGATTTATTTATTTGATTGTCCATGAGTGAGTTTGCTAATAATGATGGCGCTAATAAAAGCAGTCAACAGAAAAAAAATAATAGCGCTGTTTTAACAGCACCCTCTTTCATCTGCAAGCAAATGCCCCCACCTCAGAATGCGCCCAAGTGCTTGTTGATGGCAGAAGCTGGTGATAGCCTAGCATAGCACGTGCATGCTCATGCAAGTTAGTCGTGTTTGAGTGCTTTGCTCGCACCATACATCTGCACGAGCGGCACACCGCTTTGGTTACATCCTTTGGCTTTAAACCAAATAAAAGACGCAAACCTAAGAAATCCCAAATTGGTGACTTTATTATTATTCTTTTAGCGCTGTCAGCGTTAATGCGCTGTCATCACGACTAAAGCGATTAACAATTAACCCATCTAGAGTCAAAATCCCTGAAATGTCTCTTGTCAACGCATTTCGTCTATGCGTTGACGTTGGGATTAGTTCGTCTATGTTTGGACGACTTCTGTGTTGTAAACGCACAAATCAGTCCGCATGATTGCATTGCTCCGCCCATCAAAAAGTCTGCACATGCGCGAATATATCGTCCATCGGCGATTGTTGGACTGACGATTGCGGGTTGGAAGATTTGTACATATTGCCCAACCCTACTAATTATATCTAAACTTTACAGTCATACCTCATAGATCTCCGATACATACAGGTTGTATGACATGAAAAAGGAACTTTGGAGGTGGGAAACATACTAACTTCACACCGAATCACAAGACACTTTAAAACTGAAATTCTTCAGAATCCACAGCACTTCCTGCAGCCTTCTTTTATATACAG